TTTAAAATCATACTTATCTTTCAAAGCAAGATACCAGGAAAAAATAACAAAATAAAACATCTTTTATTTCTCTCTCGAACAACCTTAAAGAAAATTTATTACTCCTTTTCAATACCACTAAATACCCATTTCAATTCACTTAGTTAGGCCATGGGATCCAAAAATTAATCAACACTGTTTCACACAACACACTATGAAGCTAAATACAAATTGCCAGATTTTTCCCGATTAAGAACAGTAATTCGTCCATAATATCACTAACATATCCCATGATCTCTCATTTCCTCACACAAAATAATGCGTAATCAGAACTGAATACTACTCACTTCTTAACAAAGTCTACTAATATCTTCTTCCGAATCTTCCTTACACGGGGATCACTTTTATTATGGATCAATAAAATACTGAACATTTTTTTTCCGAATTTGATAGAATTCATAAAAAAAAAAAAGTCTCTTTATCACATCTACAATTACTTTAGACAGCGCCATACAATCCCAAATTATTTCAACCCTACTTCACACAACACACAATGAAGCTTAATAAAATAAACATCCACAGATTTTTGTCCAATTCCCCCTTTTCCGATTAAAGAACCGTAATCGTCCATTAATATCACATGACATATCCCATGATCTCTCATTTTCCCCACACAAAATAATGCGTAATCGGAACTGAGTACTGCTCACATTATTACCAAAGTCCCAGGTAATAATGGCCGAATCCCACCTTTATCGCCTCCAAAATGTCGCCAAACTACCAGTTACCATATTGTAAAGATCAACCCCAAATTCCTACAAACATAAAATTCACAAAATAACTATCATTTAATTAAAATATAATTAAATTCAAAAACACTACTTAAAATATAAATGAGCACATACACTAAATTAATACATACATAAATACCCATTTCGAATTCACTTTAGTTACAGCCATGGGATCCAAAAATTCACGAACACTGTTTCACACAACACAGAATAAAGCAAATACAAAATTTTAGATTTTTTCCGATTTCCCCCCTTTTCCGATTTAAAGAACCGTAATTCGTCCCATTAATATCACATGACATATCCAGATCTCTCATTTCCCTCACAAAATAATGCGTAATCGGAACTGAGTACTGCTCACATTATTACCAAAGTGCCAGGTAGTAACCTTTATCGCCTCCAAAATGTCGCCAAACTACCAGTTACCATATTGTAAAGATCAACTGATTTTGGTTATGGCGCGTTTTGATGTATATATGGACAAAGTCAAGGGAGTGTGCAATACCAAGTTTGTGCAATTCTCTGATGTTTTATCAAGTGAAAAAAATACATGGATACCGAGTTTGTGCAATTTTTTGACTTCTTGTTTTCAAGTTGGCAATTCTGAGAAACATGCAAAGCTGTGCACACTTTCCCAGTTTGTCGCCAAGGGTGTGGGCTGTCCTAGGATTTTACCAAAGGGATTATTTCCACAAATATCACCAAATGTGTTGTGATAAATTTAGATTTTGGCTATTTTTTATGATATTAATAATTTTGTATGGACTCGGGTTTGGTTTTCAGTTGCGGTGTTTGCTTGCATGTGCGTGGTATGGTTTTAGATTTTGAACTTGGTATTATTTTGCTGTGGGTACCAGCATTTGTGTATGTCTGAGATTAACAGCAGATGAGCCGAAGTGACCAAAAATTTAATTGAATTGCTTACGTGAAGGATGGAGCAGATGGTAGAGGGAAGCGTGAGAACATGCATTTGAAAAAAGGGTATGTTAAACAATTGACATTTCATTTATTTATTTGTCTCTAAATGTTAATTTTTATTAAAAGATTTGTTGTTTTATGTTAGGAAATATGAATTTTTGGTTACTTATTGCTCTCTGTTTGTATATTTTTGGTTATTTGTTCGTCTCTGTGGGTTAAGACAGAGGCAAATTATTTGTTCGTCTCTGTGGGTTAAGACAGAGGCAAATTTTGGCTAATATTTGGAATATGGTAACAGGTAGTTTGGCAACATTTTGGTAAGGCGATACTGGTTACTAGGTAGGATTAGAGTGTATGGATATAGTCAAGAGTGTGCGCAGCCATTTGTGCAATCTGGGTGTTTTTTAAGTGTAATAGTTGACGTGAAATGGATGAACCGCGTATGTCTATTGTAAAAACGCGGCAAGCGTGGGCGATTCGACTTTTTCCCAATTTCGACCTATCTTCGTCAGATAACATTTTGTTCCATAAAGTTCTAGCATAGTGTAATTGGCTAGCAGATTGTTGGAAAAAAATGTTGATAAAAAAAACATGCCTTTACTCGTGAAAAAAAATGGCGTCCAAAACAAACTAGCAGGTTGCGTAAGGGTGGTCGCCAAATCTTCGTAAAAAAAGTCGCCAAGTTAACATAATTCAAAGATTAACCGAAATTTTTTCTGGTTAACGTGATAATTTTAACTTTGCTTTAACTTCTTGATTTCGTTTAAGTGAAAATAGATTGATGTGTACATGGACACATTTAAGCCAGTGCACAATGCCTAGTTTGTGCAAATCTCTGATTTTCTTTTAAGTTAAAATTGGGGTAAAAGTATAGTTTAGGGTACCCCTTGGCGAAACTTGGCGATTTTTGGTGGTACATGGATACCGATTTTGTGCAATTCTTTGACTCGTTATTTTGGCTTGTGAAGCGGCAATTTTTGGACAAAGTAACAAGACAAACAATTGCACAAACTCGGTATCCATGTACACATCGACTTATTTTCACTTAACCCCCCACCCCCCCGAATTGCACAAAAATAGCATTGTGCACTCCTTTGACTTTATTCATGTACACGTCGACCTATTTTCCCTTTTAAAAAAAATCTACGAATTGCACAAAAATGACATTGCACACTCTTTTAACTTTATCCATGTACACATCGACCTATTTTCACTTTAAAAAAAATCCCAGAATTGCACAAACTTGCATTGCACACTTCCTTTACTTTGTCCATGTACACATCGATATATTTTCACTTAAAAAATCAAAGGAGCACCAAATTCTACAATATAGGCAAACAAAAATACATTTAATCTTTGGTTTATGGTAACTTGGCGATTTTTTGGCGAAAATTTGGCGACCAACGCTTCTACAACAACCTGCTAGTTTTTGTTTGGACGCCATTTCGTTTTCACGAAGTAAAGGTACTTTTTTTTTTTTTAACTCAACACTTTTTTCCAACAATCTGCTAGCTGAATTACACTTATGCTAGAACTTTTATGGAACAAAAGCGCTTAGTCATGATTTAGATTAGGTGGGAAATTGGGAGAAAGTGCAGAATCGCTAACTGCTTGCCGCGTTTTTAAGAATTGCACATACATGGTATCATCCATGTACATATCGACATACTTCCAAAAATGGCATTGCGCCCACTCTTGATTTTATCCATGTAATGCTAAAGTCATAGCTAGTAACCTTTATCGCCCTTACCAAAATGTCGCCAAACTACCTGTTACCATATCAAGATTAGCCAAAAATGCATAATTCAAAAAATACTTTTAAACCAAACAATAAAATAACAAAAAGAGGAAAACAGTTATAATTTAGCATTACCAAAAGAAAATATTCACTTACCATGAGTTTCGAGTTCGCTCGTACCCCAGAGCCACGTAAAAAATCAAAATATCAATAAAATCAAATGACTTTTTTTCAAACCAGGTACTCTTTCTGATCGAACGCTTCACATATGACCATCTGAACCTTTCTTCCTACAACCATTCAAATCATCTAAACGATTTTTTACGTTAGACTAGACGCATATCCTTTCTACATAAGACACTTATAATGGCTACTAAGTAAACCTTCATTTACACACCAGTAAATTCAGCTCTTTTCCCCTTTCGCCCAAATCGTACAAACTCAAATAATCTTACTACATTCGGCCATTTACCTAATGAATCAACCCAAACACGCTTACACATCCCGAAAACGCTTTAAAAACATTCCGTTCAGCTCCCAAACAAACTTGATAAATGTCAAAACGAAGCAACAACTTGGCGATAAATCAAACAACTTCACCATAATACAAGGGGTACCTTAAAGTCTACTCTACCCGAAATTGGTCAATGTGTACATGAATACAGAGTTTGTGTAAGTCTTCGACTTCTTGTTTTGTGTAGCAGGCGGAAGGTGCCAATCCTTTCTGGCACCAATCTTGGCATCAAAAAAGAAATGATTTGCCAAGGGGTACCATAGGGTAACTTTTAACCCATATAGTTGTCATTGAAGGAAATAATGACATTAGGAAGATAATAAAAATAGGTGTAAATAAACTTGGGAAACACTAAATACAGTAAACGTATGCAGTTAAGAGTTAATGTGTTTATGGTAAGAGAGGATGAGAAGGAATCAAACAAGCTGTTTTTTGGAAAACAGTAGGGATCAACAAATAAATTTTAAATTCTATTTGGCCTTTTACGTGTTCAGTAATCTTGGAAGAAACAAAATGCTGATGACTTTCACAACATTCAGTATTTTTCAAGAGATGTAAATGTGGCAGAATTTAAAACTTCCTAGTAAATTATCAGCCATTGAGTAGATTTTTTTCAACTGGCAGCATTTCTTTTTCCGATATTTTTTATGTTGTTTTCTCACCTTTCTTTCCATTGTTTTTATTAATTTTTTTTAACTTAAACATATATTCCAAGCCTGTCTTTTCAATTTTACTGCTTAAAATGCTCTTAAAAACATGCTTTTTTACGGGCTTTTGGCAGCATTTTATTGCCAAGCCAAAAAAAAAAAAAAAAACATCCGGGATTCCCCATTCTTTTCCTTAATATTAAACAGTGTACATTAAGGATAGAATCTAAATTTTACTTTTATATATTTAATATCATGCTTAACAATAACTTTTGCGTTACCACTGAAACAATTGCGGATTAACACTTAACAGTAAAAACTTCAGGGTCACCAATAGGTCTTCTGCAGTAATAATACCGAACTCTTTTAGACTAATGTGAGATAAATAATAACTTAAAATGAATTAAACTTACCGATGTCCATCTGACAGGACTTATTTCATGTCCGGTAGCCTCTGGTTGCAGATTAAGAATACAGCAAATTTAGAAAATAATTTTGCATTGCATCTGCTACGAAGAGTTTTATACCTTAGCTTTCAATTCCAGCTAGAAAACCTTCTTTCCACCAAATTTCACAGTTAGAAAAGCCGCCAAACACAAGGCTCCTTGGACAAACAGAAACGAAACTCCACCCGGAAATGACATAAGTTCTGTTTTGCATCCTTAGTATGTTTCTACCCGTGGGACGAACAGTCAAATGTGAAAGAAGGGTGTGTGGAATAAGAGTTATTTTGTGTTGGAGCAAAAAATAATTTTGTAGGATTTGATAAAAAATTTGAAGGCCAAACAAAAAAAAGCAAATAAAAAGATATAAAAACAAAGGGCCAAACTGTAAAAAAAAAAAAAAAAAAAAAACCACTATGGGCCTAACAGACAGACGTAAAAAAAGGTAGATTATTCGCTAAGGAAAAGCATATGGGGCTCACTATCTAAGGGAAGGAATACTTTGGTGGAGAATTTTCTAAAGTAAATTGACTCGTTTTCACATTATATCGGTAAAGCCGTGGAAACGGCTATGTGACTAACCCATTCCCTAGAAACTGTATTTAAGTCCAACCAGCAGTATTCAACGGTCTTATCTATTTTTGCCTCTGGTGAGCATATACTGTGAAAGAAAAATGTACTTTCTTGGTAAAGTGGCACCTATATGAACCTTAGGTAATAAACGAAATTTCTTTATCACAGATTCATTGCCGAATGAAGCATCTAGTAGGCGCTAAATGAAATTTAAATAAGAGCCCCATTTATACAAGTAGCTTCTTATGAAATCCCATGTAATATCTGTTAAAATTTTAGTACTCACATATTATCTCTTCGATCTTAGCGGACATAGCATCAATCATTCCATAGGAATTTCAAAGGAAAAGACGAATGCATACTACAAAAAAAGTTAATATATTTGAACTCAAGTTCTGAGATTATTGTGTTGTGTTTTATGTATGTTGGGTATGTGCTGAGTGATGATTACAAGATGTACACAAACATCGTTTATTCTACAGACAGACAGACAGACAAAGTAGACAGATGTCTTTAGTTGCACCCGCTAGGTCTTGGGCGAAAAATCAAGCATAGGTGCGAAGGAAAGGTA